TGAAGCAAAAGAAATGTTTACTGATGCTTTTACTCCTATTATTTATTAATCAGGTGGCAATTTTTATATTCTATTGAATATAAAATTCTTTTTATTGGCACATTGAGACTCAAATTAACTATTAGTGATCAATAAAATATTTCTTATTCGTCACAGAAATAAACGTTTGCTCTATATACCTTGAATTGAATAAGATGTATCAGAAAAGTTAAAAAAATATTCCCCTTAACTATATCTAAATGAGGTTTCATAGACTAAAATACAAATCCTTTTTTTCACTCTCTGTGTCTATTATACAAAACGACAATTTCAATTAATTCAGATACAAATCGTTAAAGATCAGATGTAAAAGATGCTCTTTAAGTACTGGAACTTATTTCACAATAGTATAGTTGAATAATTATTGCTTATATAGCTTTGATTCTGAATTATTTACATAACTTCATCACACTGAAATTCCTTCTTTAGAATGGAAAAAGAACTGAGTTAAGGAAAAAAATATTTTTGTTTTAATCCTCTGACCGGCCTGGGGTTTCACCGAGAAATCCCAAAATTTCAAACCTGCCATGAAAAGAGATATTTTCTTGATTTCAATGCTAAAATGCCTCTGGTACTTTATACCTGGATTTACGTACTTTAAATGTATTACCTTAAGTTTCTGGACATATTTCAAGACGTACATATATATACTTTCTTAAAACTTTTATACACATTATACAGAAAAAAGTAATAAAATTACATAAAATGTTCGTTCATCCTAGCAATTTAAACTTCAATAAAATTTCCTAAAGGAATACTTATAACTTATTTCTAAATCTCAAATTCATTTCTATATCAGATTAAACGTCTTCGGTCATATTCGTATAAAGAATTTGAAGAACGAGAGAGAAAGATCTCTAAATTTTACGTATATTGATGTGCAACATTGTAACTAATCATGATCGCGCTCAAATAGAAGTAATAAAATAAAAAAGAATATTGAAATAGGCATAAAGGCAATTAGAGCTTTAGAGATGTACATATTTTCAAAGCATTAATTTTTGTTTATTAAGAACGAGAAAAAATTGCGAATCTGTCCAATATATATGCTAAATGCTAGATGAAAAGATAAGTCCTAGAACGCTTTCCGTACATACTGATAAAATTGAGATAATTTACTCTACGTATAATAAATAACTATAACAAATGAACTTTATACAGTGGAGATAATTTTATAAACGAGAAAAAGAGGTAAAAAGCAACCTTTGTTTAATGTAGAATTTGAACAAAATTCTAAAAATAATCTGATTAACGTAATTTTTATAAGAAGTAAAATATTTTTATATGGTGGGAGGAGCAGCTACCAAATTTATATGGAAACCAATGGCTAGGGCAAAGTGAAAACCAATATAGCTCCATTCGGCTAGGAAAACAGTTATGGCATACCTAAACTGAATTAAGATCGCTTTTTGCTTAATTTAATTTTTTATATGGCATGCTTGTGTTCCAGTTAAAAAGAAACATATTTTACGGATGCATGCAGCTATTATATAGAATATATTTAAATTACTGTCAGATTGTGTAGAGTCATTAGGAATTTTTGATGCTAGAGGCGTGAAAAATCTGTAATGTCCTCGTCAAGACTTGAACGTACACCTCTCGAATACGCGCCGTGTGTGCTCCCATTCTACCACGAAGGCATGCGGAAAGTTGGGAGAAAATACATTATACTTGCTTGTGTCTGAATGTAACCCCAATGTATTATAATGTATTACATTGTTTTAAATTAAAAAAAATATATTAGCAGAAAATACTTTCTCAAATTCTTGGGGGAAAACTTATATTGCTTTTTCCTCGCATCAAAATATCGCTTATGCTTAATGAACTGCTATATGCTTAATGAATACATGCTATGAATTATATGCTAATGCTTAATGAATTATATGCTAATGCTTAATGAATTATATGCTAATGCATATGCTTAATGAACTGCTATATGACATTTCTTTAATATAGCTTAATTCTTTATTAAAACTATAAAGCTGGAAATATATTCGGAAAACACGAGGAAAAGATATTCGTTTAATAATTAAAAATTTACTAGGAGCTTAAGTGTGACTTGTACAACATTTATTATTAAAGTTTTAAAAAACAATGCCCTTTCCTATACCTTTTGTGTGATTCTAAAATATTGCTTAGTGAAAACGCACTTTGATTTAACATGCATAATACCTTTTTATGCAAAGATTTCCCTTTTACCCATAAACAAACCAACGTTTCCCAAAGATTAATTTATTTCGAAGCACATATGTTAGTAAAATACTAACTGAAATAAGCTCTAAAACTAAGAAAAAATGTGTATTTTAAAGAAATGCGTTTCAAAGCAAACCTTTCATGGATTTTTCCAAAACAGAGCAAAACTTTATTTATGACGTACATTAATTACAAATTAAATATTTATCAACTGTTTCAAATGTAATCAAGTTACAGAATTTTAGAGTTAATATTTTATGATGCCCTCCTACTTTTTGATTTATGAATATTTATTAAAACTTTAGTAGCTAGTCTTAATAATAAATTAAATAAGTAATATATTTTTTCAAGTCTAAGAAAATATATGAACACTAGGGAAAGATATTTTTTATATTATAAAGAAGGACGTTTTAAACTTAAAGATAATTAATACTTTCTGTATACTTTAATAGCAAATTTAAATTTATTTCTATAAGCAAAACATAAATAAAGTTGAATACCGAAAGCGGCAAAAATTTTAATACTTTAGTGATAACAAATTCATGCTATATTTTAGATTAAACAGAATAAAAATGTTTGAGCATACGTTGCCCAAGCTTCCTATTTCTATTTGTATTCGGACGACAATGATGTCTAATTTCACAAAAATAAGGATTTCACTTTAGGAAATTTCGCCAGAAAATAAGAAAAAAGATAATAATCTTCTTTACTTTCTATTTATAGAAAAAATTACACATTTCTCTTATTTTTATGTTATCAATCATCTCTTTTCATTTCATTATAGTATTAATACGATGATCATAAGAAGTTATAAACTTATTTATGATACCTTTTCAAAAAACGAGACGATTGCGATTTAAACCTTAATGCCATCAAAACATTCTTTTTAAGTTTCTTTAACTATAATAAAATACGATAGCTTACTCTAGAAGGTCAAAACACCCATTTAATTACATCGAAATAACTTAGATACTTGATTATCTTTATTTTCCATTTAGAAGTTTGTTTATTCAAGGTTTTTAAGGGGTGTTGGAACCCCAAAATCTTCAAAAATTGTGATTTCGAATTTTTGCATTTTCAAATTCTCTACACCTGTATCTTTCTAAAAATACCATTCTTTGATCTCTATGAAAATTCGAACTGTAAAAAAATCTAGTTTTAATTTGTCATCTACTGTTGATCAACGAGGATTTTTACATAAAACGCGTTTTCTCCAAACGTGATTTTTTTATACTCGAGTACCTTTCTCCGGAACTACTGCTCACAGGTATCTAAACTTTTTGGCTTATTTATTAGGTTGCCTAAGATTATGAAATGAGCTTTTTGTAATAAACTTAAAAAAAAAAAAATTAATTGTTTTGTGTGAGAAAAGTGCTAAATTTTACTATGCCTAACAAAATATTCTCTAATTAACTCTAAAATTAAAAATGCTTCAAAAGCTCATTTCAATATAATCAGATAGATATACTTTAATTACAGAAAAAATTTCAAGCTTGTATCTACAGCAGATTTTGAGAAAAGGTACATCGAAAATGGCCAATTTAACATTGTCGGTATAGGGGTTTCTGATACCAAGCAACCGCCAGTTGTATCTATGTATGTTGTTTTTCTGACATTAGAACCATTGCTCGTAAACATATGTCAACGATAATGCTGTCTATGAAACTTGAAAATCAAATTATTTCGAGCTCAACACTTTTTTCCACCTGACAGCAATTAATTTCTTGTTTTCAAAAATTGATCAGAAAAATATCAGTTCGATGTTAAGAACGTTTAAGGTTGCTTTCCATTTTAAGTGCTTTAAAATAAATTCGTTAACAGTTGTAGGCTAAAATATGTAGCACTTGCAAAATAAAGAATATTTAGGACGTACTACGAATGCGGGGAATTTAAACCTTTAAACTCGCTGGGATTGTTATTAGAGTTTTTGGTTTTTTCAGTTGAGTTTTGAAAATGATAGATTAGGGAATGCAGAGAATGTGTAGAGTCTTGTGTATGAATTTTTCGACACATCAAATATGAAATAAAAGAATAATAAATATTATGATTTAATTGTTAGCGTCTTTCTGTTGGGTTTTAGAAAGCAGTACATTTATTTCTTTCAGTCCAATCTAAGAAGGCAGATCAATCCCGAATTGTAAAATCTGCAAAGAAAAGTATTATATTATGATAATTATCTGGACATAGTTAGATAGGATGGTTTTTTTTAAGAATATATTTAAAAAGGAATTCTATCATTTGTAAGATATATGACTCTAGTAGTATTTATAGTGAAGCATGCTGAACAACGATTATTTTGAGGAGATTATTCATACTACAAGATCTTGCTTATAATAAATATTTAGTTTATAATAAGACCAGTTTAAAGGACATTTTTATGTGAAATTACATAAGCATTTAAAAATTAACCCCATGGTTCTTTCGTCAGTTCTGTCCTTTTAAAAAGAGTTCAAAAAGTTGAAAAAAAGCACACATTTATCATTCAAGTGTACAAATATTTTCGCAAATTTATCACAAATAATATAATACGATATATCACAAATATTATATAATTGAGTAATTTATGAATAAATAACACTAATTATATCACAAGACATATGATAAACTACAACTAACATTAACAAATACATTTTTCGTTTGTAAAACATTTGAATGAATATCTGAATAAAGACGAAAAATCTAAAATATAAATTTCACGCAGTGAAACTTGCATCTTTAATATGAGGTGGTAAGCTCACTTAACATGGGAAGAATGTTCACCCATTGCATTTCACAGAACTTCATGGGAAAACAGATGAAAAAAAAAAATACCATGCCTTTCCATTTCACAGGACATGAAGATTATCGCAGGATTTCGATCTTACTCCTTTTCCTAACAATCTATTGATGAGGCCTTTGGTTCTGAGACTGGATCTCAAAGTCCCTTTGACACTGCCGCCTCCTTTCCTCAACGGGGAGCTGGAAGGTGATGAAGGCTTACTTACGCGATGGGGTTCATCTTTCTGGCGATTCTTCAGACGAATTTGACTTACAAGTCCCACGAGGAGCTCATCCACATTGTGGTTGATGGCAGCTGAAGTTTCGATGAATTTGCACTCGTAAGAGCAAGCAATGGATTTTCCCTCTGTAAAAAAGTGTTAATGCGTGAAAAAACAGTGGCATATAGAAGAAGTATCGCAATTTCATTGAATAACTATTTCAATTTGAGAAATTTATATTTTCAATTACTTTTTCGAATTACATTCGTGTAGTAAAAATGCCATATATGGTCAAAATATTTGGATGTCGGAAATTATAAAATATTAGAGCTAATTATAAATTATCTTGAACCTGAGTTTTGTGCAGAGTAACCCAATGATAAAGATAGACAACATATATACTTAAATGCAGAAAAAAATCTAAGTGCGTTCACATTTGAACCAAGTTTTATTTCTAGTATAATTGTTGTTAGAGAGTGAGATCCGTCGAAAAAATAATGGACTGTATTCAATTATAAAAGTTTATTCATCAATAGAAAGGCACAGGGGCCTTAAGGATCAGAGCTGTCCGCTCTTGATAGCACTGATGGCTATTACAAAAAGAGGGCGTAGGAGCCCAAAGAAACAACCGCTCTGCTCGCGGTCTACAGAGGTTCTGCTGGTTTGAGGGGCAGCGCCTTCTACTGATAATAATGTTACAACAATAGGATAGGACGAAACATCCCGTACCGCGTTGAAATATTTATATTTCAATACGACATAAGACTCGTAACATAATAAAGTATAATATAATACTATTAAAAAGAGAATATCCATTACGAAATAGTTCATTCTGGGATATAATATAATAAAATAGCATAAACATTCATACAGTTACAAAATTGATTATATCTCAAATAATACGATTCTACATTAATGAGGTTCATCAAATAAACATAAGTATTATTATTCAATAGGTAGCAGACATATTTTGGATATACATATTTTAAATGTGCCGGTAGGAGTTCTAACTTTAACTACTCTGACTTTTCCATCAGGTCTGGTTACAACTTCCTGTATACGACGTATAGCCCATTTACAAAGAGACAGATTATCTTCATTGAGTAAAGCAAGGATTCCAGGCAAATTGCCATTTATTGCGCTGCTGCAATTGGTTAAGGTAGTCTCGATGCCACTTTTTCCAAATTGACTGAACCCTCTTAGTAGTTTTTCGAAAACGAGATAGCCTATTTTCTTTTAGATGCAATACATCAGGTTCTTCCATGGCATTTAATGGGCGTTCAATCAGAAAATGGCCAGGATTGAGGACTTCATAATCTGTAACTTCAGAGGATAATGGAGTTAAAGGACGTGAATTCAGAATTCCTTCAATTTGAATAGAAACAGTCAGAAACTCTTCTGGTGTAAGCTTATCAATGCCAACAGTTCGTTTAGATGGTGTTTAAACGGTTTAACGCCTGCCTCCCAGAGTCCTCCAAAATTAGGAGCTCTAGGCAGAAGAAACTTCCAAATGATGTCTTCTGAAGCTAAATAATTTTTATTTATTTATTATTATTATTGCTTATGTTTCGTACCGAACTATTATATTGTAACTTCATGTATATTTGTGGATAAAAGGTTATAATTTCATGTTTTTAAATGTTTTATTTTTTAGCAATATTTGTAATTCTGTGCAAATGCTTGCAGGAGAGGAAGACTGAAAGTGTAGCTTATCAAAATTCACCAAATAGTGGGAATATTGGCGATTTTTTGAAAATCGGTTTTAATTTGGAGATTTCAAAAGACGAGATTTTTTGAGACCAACAGCTTCTATATTCCACTTATAGTGAGTTGAAACTCGTGAAAATATGAAAACTCGTGAAATAAGAAAATATACTATTTAACTGCGAAAAAAGGGTAGTCAGTTTTTCTGAAATACACCGTCTTTTTTCATGTTTTGATAAGATCTTGCTAGAGTCTCCTCTCGTTTTTTTAAATAATAAATGATACACAAGCAACCCAAAAGCATAAAAATGTCAGAACATTTTCAGTAAGTAATAAAGAAAAGTCAATGTTTACATGGAAGAGAAGACCTGAGAAATATTCTTTTCTCACCTGAAACAAGATTTAAATTTCTTGGTACGTTTTTACAATATGAGCTATGCCATCAAAGGAAGTATTCCTAAATATTCTAACAGGAAGTATTCCTAAATATTCTAACAGTCGCATTGTATTTCAATCTATACAGCAAAAGTATAAAGTTACAATGGCAGATTTTGAGTCAGTGCTTCGTGAGGAAAATCCAATTTCTGCAGAGACTAGAAGATACCTTGTTTCCCTTACTAGAGCGGAAACAAGACTAACATTTTCCTGCAGCGTTATGGGAAAAAAGGCATTCGCTTTCCTTTTGAAAGCGATAATTGGCTTCAACAGTTTAAAGAATAAAGCCAAACCTCGATTAAAGGGGTTATGAAAAAATTTTAGGCTGACCCTAATCCCAATGAAATGATAAATGAACTCGAAAACAAGAATTTTCTTGTCAAAACGGTTACCGACTTCTAAGGTAGGAATCCAAAGATCCTGATTCCTGTCTGTTTTTCTTTCCGTGGACATGCAAACGGTTGCAGGTTCAGAACTCTGGAATCTTCAAGAAGTTCTTTACTAGCTTGCTTAAATGTGCTAGCTTTCATAAAGTAATGTAACTTTCATAATGTAAATATGCTAATTTTCATAATGTAAATGTGCTAACTTTCATAATGTAAATGTGCTAACTTTCATGATGTAATGCGAATTTTATAATGATGCATCAGGATTATGACTGCTAACAAGTGCAGAATTAAATCATCATTAGAAAATTTGAAAATGCAGTTTCTATAGTAGAATTACTCAAAAGGCTGAAATGAATTAATTTTAGCAGTTTGCTCAGTATAGATAGATGACTGGTCAGGAGAAACCTCGTGACCGGTTTTACCCACCTGCTGGCAACTGATGATTTCAATGTCTCGATCATCTAAATTAATACTAAAGTGATGCACTGAGTATTCAGAGAACATCACGTTTTACTTCTTGTTATTTGTTTCTCCTAAGGAGTTAAATTCAGATCCAAACTAGGGGGAATTGATATAACTAAAAAGAGCTGCTCAAAGAAAAAATCTGAATGCCAGTAGAAATCCCATATCCAAGTTCTAGTTAATGTAGTCTGTTTGTAGACTAAAATTTTGTTGTACTCAAGTTTTGAACAACCTTCCGACTTAATTCTATTGCATTTTTCAAATTTTGACTGCGTCAATTTGTGATAATTAGTAATTTGTGCTTCCGATAATCTACAAACGCATAATAAAATGGTTATGCCGATCTTCTTTAATATTTGAATAAAGCCTAATTTAAGTTTGAGTATATTAACTTAAAATATTTTGATGCTAGATATAGTCTATACATTAAAAACATAAGCTTGAATTCAAATTACTGAAAAATAATCTTTATTTTAAAGACTTACCCTCAATAGCTATTTCTCTGGTTCTGGCTAAATCTGATTTATTTGCGACCAAGATGACAGCTTTACTGTTGGTGATGCCTCTCTCACGGAGACTGAATAAGATGTCGACAGCTTTCTCAAAACTGGCTCTGTCCGTTACAGAATATGCTACAATGTATGCATCGGCTTCTTCTTTCATGGCTTCCAGTACCTAAAACATAGATTAAAAAGTTAAGAAGAAATATTTAGCACATGTAACGATTTATATTGAAAGAAAATCGATGTTTTAGAATGCGATATCGCTGTTTAGTAACAATTCCAACGACCTGATATTGATGACTTTTACGGCAGCTGTATTAAAAAAAATTATTTTTCTTTGAAATATAGGTATGATACAGAGTTATTATGTAGGCTATTACTATTGTTCTTCACTAACGAGTTACTTTATGTTTTGGACCTTTAATATCCCTTCTCGTTTCCCAACCAGAATGTAAATTGAGATAGAAAGAACTAGTATTTAAAGAAGTTTTCAGTAGTTTAATTTCAGAGCGCATTCTATATCTCGAGACTACGTTATTAGGTTAGCTATCTCAGATAAGACTTGTAGTCTTCCGCTTTGCATTATAACTGCCGAAATTTGAATATCTACGCCGGTTAGGTTTGTGAGCCAGCTTTGTCTTAAATTGAATTGTGTAGTCTTTGACTACTAGTTTATTTTAAATTGGAACTTACTGTTAAGTTAAAACGCCACAGTGGTTGTCTGAATTGTACGCATAAGTCAAGCATTTGTTTTCAAGTTCTGATTCAAGATTTTGTCGTTAAATTTTTATATTACGTGATAGCTTACTGTCAATCTAAAGTTTTTTTACAATCTATGATAGTTCAAAAGAAGAAACTTTACTCCTAATAATTATGATACCAAAAACTAAACTTTACTCCTAATAGTTATGATGCTTAGACATATATTTATCTGCATGATGTAATTACTCCTAGGCCTACAATAACCCAGAATATCTTCTAACCAGAATACATTATTAATATCCTAGACTTTAGGAGGATCTAAAGATAGTTTATAATTGCTTATACCTCTGTTTTTGTTTCGTAAAAGTAAGCCATTCAAGAGAAAGTTAAGCGCAGAGATCCCAGAAAGTGTGTTGTATTTTTAGAACAACAGGCTCTTTCTTGGAACCTGTGCGCAAATACACTTAAAGAAATCACGGAAAGTTGAGAAATTCTGGATTTACTTGTGATTTAAATTTACATTTTCTTATTCTTTACTTTCACAATTTACTCAAATTATTGAAACATAACCGTAAACTTTCAAAATCAAGTTTAAAACGTTCGAGTACAATTTTGAAGCCAAAATAATTTATCAAAGCTTAGAAGAAGTGTTTCACAACTCAGGAGAAAAACTACGGTTTAAGCGTAATTTTATTTCTTAAATCATCCTGAAACTTACACTCATTATTAACTGGACTTACGTTACTAATATATAAACATCGAACCTTATTACTTTGCATATAAATCTCTATGGCATTTACGATTAATTTAATGTGATAAAAATCTGAGTAATATATCTGATTCAAATTAATCATTAAGTTTGATAAACGAAGTCTGAAAACTTACTCACTAAAAACTAAAAACTTCACTTTATTTTCTTGATTGTGATTTTATGACAGTTGTTTAGCAAACACTGAGAATTTCGATGAACGACTATTGAAAATCGGTTAAAATGTGAAATGTTTTCAGCATTAAGTAGCACTCACAAATATAAACCCATTTGGTTAGTAAGATATATCTAACAGAAATCAATAAAAGTTTTAAGAGGAAATCAGGCGTACTATTAGAATGCTAAGTGATTTTAAGCTCTTTTGATGGACACCATTAAATCGTATAATTTTATGACATTTTTTAATATCTTGTAACAGATAAAGATGATGTTATTAGTGAGTGTACGAAGTAATGGAAGCCGAATATACATATCATGTCCACAAAATTATTATATGACCTTTATTTCTTCAACCATTGCTCGTAGAGTTACATTTCCGACAGCAAAATTTTTTAAATGACATAAATATTCATATTTTCGTATTTTCAGCTTTAAAAATCAATGTTATAGAAATTAAGAAATCTAAAGTTTGATACGGCTTCATAGTCCTTATTATTCATACTCATTATAAAGAATAAAATACAAAACGTTTGACTGTTGTACAACAAAACTGGTCTAGATATTTAATTTTGAAATTTGTGAAAATACTCAGGGGTTGTACACATGTTGAAGAGCGAAACGCTTGCATTTGTGCGTTACTAAAAATGAAATATCTGTTTAGTGAAAGGTTCCTGGTATTAACACATGAGTGACGGGCATTTTTAAGACGTTTATATAAATGCAACTCTTATCGACCAAATCGTATTCACAGAACCTAATACAATTTAGGTTTTAGAATGAAGTAGCAGCAGACATTACGTATTGACACACGTATTACGTGTTTCCGTAAATTAATATTTTAAAGGACTTTTTTCTTTTATTTTTTTCATGATTATCGGATTTTGATTGTAAGGTATTAAAACTGCATGAGAATATTAACAATGTACTTTTAGCATCTACAATTTAACTATGTGCATGAAATTTCTTTCGGCGTACTATATGTAAGAAAATTATACTTTAAACAATGTTACATATATAAAATTTAAAAAAAATTACATTTGTAAATCACAAAAGAACATCATTAAGTAGCAGAGGGAAAAAATCATCGACCTATTCTAATTTCTTTTTTAACCGATTCCTCAAACAAACCTAAAACGAAATAAAAAAAAAAAAAAAAAAAAAAAGAAAGAAAGAAAAAGAAAGGCATTTTGAGAAAAGTAAAACGTTTTATCACTATAAGTCAAGATTTTATTTCAAAATAGTTAAAATAAATAATAATCGTTAATATAATAATAATATAATAATTATGATCGTTAATATAATAATAATAATATTAAATTGCTGAAAGTAATGTAGCTCAAGTAATCTCGATTTTAAAAATAAACATATATAACTAACAGTTTTTCTATAAACGTGCAACAAGTGTCATGTGAGTTGTATGTCAGATGCATTAGAATCTTAATTTGCATTATGATACTCAGAAGTCAAACAACAAAAATCAGCGTTATACCTACAAAATTTTCACAGGACTAGTTTCGATGGTTTTACCGAACCATCATCTTCAGCTGCAAAACGCCAAATGAACAAGATAGGAAATAATGATTAGATAAGAAAGCCTGGACAGAATAAGCAAGTGGCGCCATCGTTGGGGAAACCAGAACTAAAACATAATTTCTCTAAAAGCCGAAGGCAAATTGGATTGGAATTAGGATCGTTAACTAGAACAGAAAGATTTTTATGAATGTGAAAAATGCCTCTAGAAAATCCAGTTCTCCAATGGAAGATGTTTTTTGAATAATTTTGGCAGCAGAAAAAAAAAAAAAAATGTGATTTTCGGATCAACAATGTTGAGCAACAGAAGACTTCTGTGTTTCCTTTTTTCTAACATATGCCTCATGTTCTTTGACGCGAAATTTTAAGGCTCTCTTAGTTTGGCCAAGTCGTCATGATAGTCGTCATGGATAAGAACACTTACATCGATGGTGTCACTAAACTCTTAAACGAAGGACCATATAATCCGATCCCTAAAGATCCTTCACCTTCGGACTTATCCAAAATAAAAACTGCGATCAAATCTTCGCAAATCATTTCAAGCAACTTAAAACATTCGCTTATCCCATCTGTTGCGAATTGTGCCAGATTATATGCTCTTCCCAAAATTCATAAAAGTGGTATTCCTTTCCGCCCTATTGTATCAAATTTAGGTACTGCCTCGTATCCATTAGCTAAATATTTAGTTTCTAGATTTTCCACTCTATTAGACAATAACATTTACACCATAAAAATTCAATAGAGTTTGCTAAAAAAGGTTAAAAAACATTTCTCCTAGTAATTTACTCATGGTTTCTTTTGATGTAAATCATTATTCACCAATGTCCCAGTGGAGGGTGCATTAAGATGTCTAGAAACCAGATTCGCGAATTTCATTTCTCTTGCATCGAAATTGATGAGCTAATTTCTCTCACTCAACTCTGTTTTGAAACAAACACATTTTGTTTTCCAAAATAAATATTACAAGCAAAACTGAGGGATTAGCCATGGGAAGCCCCTCAGTCCCATCCTGGCTGATATCTACATGCATTATTATGAATCAAAATTGTTTGAAACTTTAAACTTCCGGCATGGTTCCGCTACGTAGACGATACTTTTACCCTGTTTGAAGGTAATAAAGATGATTTAAATAAAGTTCTTTCAACAATGAATTCTATTGATCCTGCTATTCAGTTCACTTTTGAACTTGAGACTTGCAATTCTCTTCCGTTTCTCGACATTCTGGTCACACGTAACACATCCAACTTCAGTACTACAGTTTACCGTAAACCTTCATCGGTTTGCCTTCCACCACACTTTAAATCATGTCATCCGACTAAACAAAAGTTAGCTTCATTTTATTCCTATGTTTTCCGTGCTCTTCAAGTTTGCTCCTCCAAACTAGCCCTTGATGAAGAACTAAATTATTTAAAAGCAATAGCTATTGACAGGGGCTTTTCACCCAACATTATTAATCAAGCAGTTTAAAAAATTCTCATCTCAACACACTAAAAGCCACACTCTTATTTTAGGAGATTATAAAAAATTCTGTTGTCATTCCCTTCTTTCCATCAATTAGCTATAAAGTTGCACATATTTTGCAGAAATTTAACTTTCGGGTTGTTATTCTCCCATCAATAAAATTCCAACTTCTATACTCAAGGACCCCATTCCGGATATGAATTCCTGGGGGATTTATAGGATCCTTGCCAGTGTGGTTTAATTTACATTGGCCAAACTAAGAGAGCCTTAAATTTCGCGTCAAAGAACATGAGGCATATGTTAGAAAAAAGGAAACACAGAAGTCTTCGTTGCTCAACATTGTTGGTCCGAAAATCACACTTTCAATTTTTCTGCTGCCAAAATTATTCAAAAAACATCTTCCATTGGAGAACTGGATTTTCTAAGAGGCATTTCACATTCATAAAAATCTTTCTGTTCTAGTTAACGATCCTAATTCCAATCCAAATTTGCCTTCGGCTTTTAGAGAAATTATGTTTTAGTTCTGGTTTCGCCAACAGATGGGCGCCACC